TAAATAATAATAATAAAATAAATAATAAAATACAATATTGGAATAATAAACTAATAAAATAATAAACTGTTCTATAATAATATATTTTAATAAAGATGTTTAAATCTAGTTAATATTATAAAAATATATATAAAATACAATCATCATAATATTTTTAACAATCATTTTAAAAAGAATAGTGATAGATAAAATCTTTACGAATGATTATTAAATTTTCTAATTGTTTTTTTGACAGCCTATAATTATAAATGTTGATTAGGTATGATATACCGTAAAATCTCGAAATAGCATGCATGGGTGTTATTTCGAAAATCGCGCCTCTAAAAATAGCATATGTAGATTCAAAATAACGGCTATGCGTATTCTAAAATAACGCGCACCCCATTATTATGTAGTTTGAAAAAAGCCAGGTTCAAAAATAGGGATATTAAAGAGTCTGTTCGGTCTTCAGCTTCGGTTCTAAAAAGTCTGTATTTAATTTAGCAGTTTAACATACATTATAGATAATTTTGAAAGTGAACTGCCAAAAGTATCTATTATTTACTTTTATTAAATTTTATCTGGGCCAGTTTCAGACTGCCCTAAAAAGTTCAGCCCCAGACCCAGTCCAAACAAGTTCTTTGTATATTTAACATCCTATTCAGAAAATCAATCTATGTATTCGAAATAGCTTCCATGGATGTACTCAAAATAGCGTGCAGACACCCGCTATTTCGAGATTTTATAGTACCTTCTATTATAATACAGAATTCTTTTCAATAATTTTATTGCAATATCTGTATTTATATCTCAGTACATAATTATGGAAAAAGTTGATTGAAATATAAATTTGGAAAATATGCCTCAATAATTTTTTAATCTAAAATCTTTTTAAAAAATCGATGTGCATTAATGGTTCTCTAAATAGTTAAACGTGAGATTAAAAAGTAAAATAACAATTTCTATACTATAATGCAAAATAGACTTCTAGTATTACTATATTCATATTTCAAATTTGTATCAACAAGAAAGCTAAAATAGCATATTATCATATTCGAAAGTATAGAATCTAAGTACTTTGTATTGTAATATTTCCGTATTTCCACATTTATATCAACAAAAAGAACCACTGAAATCAGTATTGGCATATGACCTGTTATGACCTGGTCATATGCAAACACTGACTGAAATAGCATACTGCCATGTTCAAAAACGCAGAGTCTTAGAAACTAATCAAGGAAAGGCAACTAATTAGTATTGTTAAAATAATAACGTGATAAATAATAATATGCTTCTTGTTTAAATGGATATACATTCTAGGTTAGATTTCAGTATATACATTAAGAATGAAATGTATTTATTTTTTAATATAGAAGATATCAAATATTAGACCGCATTGTAGAATACTATTTTCTAAAAAATGTATAAAAATCGATAATTTGCTTTTTAGCTTAGAAATTGTCTTAATAAATTTCAAATACCTCATAAATAATTATCTCGAAGTTATTTGTAAAACTTACCTTAAAATTTAGGGTTTAATTATCCATTAATTAACATTATGGTTATGAATAAAATGGTTAAAACTCGTGAGGCACCAGCTCAGTCCAAGCTCAAAAATAAAATCGCTCAATTAAATCAGGAGCTGCAGCCACTTAAAGTATTAGAAGATAGAGGAATAATCACAGATATTGATAGAGAAAAAAAAAAAAAAGATTCAAGATGAACTTAAATCATCATTAAAAGCTCTAACTAAATTAGAATACCATCAACAGTTTCAAAAACAATATAGATATTAAAACAAACAGAAGCTTCAGCTAATATCAAAGCAACTTAAGAAAGCAGGTGTTGATATGCAGCTCGTTAGGCCAACAGTTGGTCATCCAAGCATAGAAGAAGCACAACCAGGTCTACTAGAAGCTATTGTTCAAATCATTTCTCCAGATGGACAGGCCGATGAAAGGCGATATTCAGAAATGGTATGCTCTGTCAAAACCTTAGATTAGCTTCAAGAGGCACTGACACATATGAACTATAAGTTGTTATGCTCTACAACATATCTTAGGCTCATTCCAAAATGGCACAATACTGAAAAGGGAAAGCGAAATGTCAAAACTGTGCCAGTAAAGCTTCTAAGGTCTCAAAGTATAGCAAGAAGAAGTCATGAGGATACTCATTTTTGTGCTGCTTCAATAAAGAATATAAAAGAAATGGTATCTTTATTAGGTCCAAAAAGCGTTTTGGTAATATCGCAAGATGACAAAGTACGAGTACCTCTTGGTTTAGCTGCGGCTAACAAACAAGGTAATCTAAAATAAAAATTACAAATTTAACTCAGGTTAAAAGTCACTTGGTATATTAATAATGCTAGTGATTATAGATAGCTTTTTGAGTGATTTTAACCAAGTCAAAATAGAATTCTTATTTAAAATACAGTATAATAAATTAAAGTTTTACTAATAATAATTAATATAGCACCGATTCTTATGAGGCTAGAATACTGAGTAGAGCTTCTGGATCATGACTGGATTATTGCTAAAAGGCATAAGCTGATTCCTTCAGTTTATGCAATATTAGATATGCAAGAAGATAAGTATGGGTATGTTGATGCGATAACATATTCGGGCCCAACTTTTATAAGAATCCGCAGTGGTAAGCATGATAGTAGTACTGCGTACTCATATAGAAAAAAATTTTAACGACTTGATAAATGAGGAGCAATTGCGCAACTACACTACAACAACAAATAAACAACCTAAACCTGTAGTGGTACTGCTAAGTGATAGTGGTCCTGACGAGAATTCTGGTATAGAAAGACAATTCAGATGATGATCGAACATTTTGATAAATATGACCTCGATACCATCATTGTAGCATGCTTTGCACCTCATCAAATTGTATCTAATCCAGTTAAAAGACGAATAGTACCTCTAAGTCATGACTTAGCTGACGTCATACTCTCACACGATACATTTGGAACACATTTGGATACACAATTGAGAACAAATGATGAGGAATTAGAAAAACGTAATTTTAAAGCAGCTGGAGATGTTTTAACATCAGTATGGGAAAATACAATTATAGATAGTTACTCAGTTCTTGTCAAGTATATAGATCTTTCTGAAGAACATCACTATCCAAATGAGAAGTTGGCACTTTGGATGGAGAAACATGTAATGACTTGTCATTACATGACTCAAGTCACAAAGTGTGATGATCAAAGCTGTTGCAAACCATTTCGAAGTGAAATAAGGCAAATTCTTCCTAATCGCTTTTTCCCCCCACCACTTAAAATTCAACAAAAGCTTTCCGATATTTGCACAGCAAATATAAATACATCTGATGATACAATTCATTATTCCAGTTTTCTCTTATCTGTGTTAATGGAAGGAAAGTTAATTCCTTCAAATATGAATTTACGGCGTTTTCATTTTGATTGGTACTGCCCAACTATCAATAAATCAATTAACGAATATATATGTCCCTATTGTAATAAGTATTTTGCTTTAAAAAAAACTTTGAATTACCATACGCGAAAATGTTCATATAAAGAATCTAACTTATCTGTAGAACTTCCTTTGGATGTTCAAGATTTCCAAGTAGACACTAATGCGTCTATTCACAACTATTGATATAGTGAAGTCTTGGTTAGTAACCAAAGTAAGGACGCTATGTGGGTGGAAAAAGAAACAGTACCAGAAGATGTATTAGAAACTTATCATCAACAAGTACAGGTTCAAGAAAAATTGATTGCAGATAAAGTATTAATAGTTGACTGGGACACTTGGAATCAATATGAGTGGACCAATGAATAAAACGTACATTTATAACATAATATAATTGACAATATAAAATTCAGAAATTTTACCTTTCTAATTCTGATTAGTTTCAAATTTTTCTACGTATAACAAATTTTTTTTATTTATATTTCAAGATTTTTTTAAATAGGCTTTAATTGTGTTGTATTATATCATATGAATTTGCACTATATATACTATAGATTGTGCAT